ATTAATTATATAATCATTCTTCACCAGCTAGAGGAGCTATGCTTAATAGGAAAGCCAGTATTTGCTGGGATAGCATGGATTTACAGCAGCTTCCCCAGTAGCTGCTTTTTTGCAAGAATACAAAGGGAAAAGTGTGTGTGCACAAAACGTAATCCTACCCCAGAAGTTTTAATGGACTTGGTGTTTGCGTGCTGCAGCTTTGCAGGTGTGATGGCTAAATTAATCTTCACAGCATTCCCTTGGGATGGTGCCCGGGGAGGAAATCTAGGCCTGGAGATTTGAAGCTAAATCTCTCTGAATAATTTTAAAGGCAGATTGGTGGCACTCTGGAGAATAGTGAATGAAGCACGGGAGAAAGGGGGTGGGAGTGCAGTGCTGCTGTCCAAGCAGGACTGAAACAGAGGGATAAGGAGGGCATACCAGTAAAGCAGGGGAAGACACTATGAGCTGACAGATGACTTGGGTGATGTTAGGGAAAATATTGCTTGCTTTGTAATGCTAGGGAAAAGATTGATCATTCCTAGTGCTGTATGTAAAGGCAGAGGGAACAGTGGTGGGTGAAGAAGGCAAGTGTGAGAAGGCAGTGGGTTTCCCCATAGGTGTTTTACATCTTCATGTTTCAAACTGTTTGTCAGAGATCAGCAGAATCTGTATGCTCCTTTGAAAATGCTTCCAGTTTTCCATATTTAAAATGTCAATTAACTGCTTTCTATAGTTAAATAGTACATTACAAAACAATTTTGACTTCTCTCATTTTATACTCCCCTTTCAGTCATAGCTCTCTGTACAATATAACTGATGCAGGTAAATAAGTGCTGAATCTCCAGCAACAGCAGTGTAAAACTGTGCTTGTTAAGAATGTGGTAACCCTGAAGAATCATCAGAATATTTCAGTAGCAAGACCTCAATAGCCATAGGTGCACTTTTCTTTAACTTCAGTAGAAAGACCATGTATTAGATTAATGTAAAGAAATAGCGAGAAATAATATAAGAAACAGTGGTCAAGAGGGACCCCACTTCATTCTAGGTATCTGGCAATATGAATTCTAAGCTGTGCTTATAGAAGACAGAAGTACTAAGTCTGTGAAGGTTTTCTCCTACAGTTCTCTGAAAGTACCTAGGCTGAGTTTGGACTCAGAATAATTTCTGATGAAGATTTGCATGATTTTTGTTGGTCTTGATTTATTAACAACACATAAAACATCACCTGCCTTAACTACCTATTAACTGGCCTTCTAGCTGAGATGCCATGGACAGCTCTACACTATCATATTGCAGCATCTATGAACACTTTTGGAGCACACCGATTGCGAAAATATGCATGTTGACTCTGAAAACCTACATTGAAGTTCTCTTAATCCCTCACTTTGTTTAAAAGAAGTCAGCACTGACATGTCTGTGAGTGTTTTATCCAGGTTGTGGGTTCACTCTGTTGTATGTGGTCTAAACATGGTTGCCTTGGAGCCAGCCTCAGGCACCATCGCTGTTTGACAGCTGAAAATGCTGGTGAGACACTGAAGTAGCTGTGCAAGGGGTCAGCCCATGTCCAGCATGACCAGCCGTGCATTTGGGCTCATTAGGCTGGTTGGACTAGACAGTGCCCTGTGGAGTCACCTGACAGTTTGAGCCCCTCTCCAATACCCATATTACACACATTTCCCAGTATGTGGAGCAGAAAAGCCTCTGCTCTTCTGAATAATGTAGATGATGACTTCTGAATGTTTTCTTCTCCACTGGTGGAAAAGTTAACCAAGTATGCAATTACATCTATTTACTTTGAGGCTTAGGAGAAGACTGAGAGCAGTACAGTAGCATTCAGTGAGTAGTGTAGAAAATGAAGACTCAAGAGTAGTGCATCAAAGACTTTGCTTCTATTAAGCTTTGCCAGTTCTTCGTGTCATCTTTTTGAGTAGAAAATGATGAATGCATCATCTGAAATGTGACCCAGTATCTACATAAAGAATAAGCTCTCCAAAGCAGAAATGGCTTCTTAAGCCAAAATGACCTCTCAAATGAGGCTGCAGGGCTACTGTGCAAATGGGTGCCAGCCATCTGCTCCTCAGCTGCAAATGCTGACTGTACTTCAGCTCCTCCTATGTGGTTAGCTTCTTCCCTGGCAAAAAAATGCTGTTGTACAGTTTCATTTTAAACAATGTGAAGAATAATGGGAACTACAAAACAAATGGTTAGAGGAGCTCCATATCCCTCACTTGGCATTCAGTTCCTAGCCTCAGATGCTGCACTGCAAGAAAAATAACTATCCTGATAGAGACAGCCTTTGAAGAAGTGTCAGGCAGGCTATCTGAAAGGTAGCTTGTGACTGCATCAAACCAGTGCTGCAAAGAAAGCACCTTTTTCTGAAATGGGAACAAGCGGCTCTGCTCATAAGAGTTTTCTTCTCTTTTGGTCTTGGAATTGCTGGTGTAAGTTGAGCAATAGCAGGGATGGGCTGGTGAGGTTTAGTGAATTGGGGCAGCCTCGTACAGCTCCAGGATGGCTGAAGATTCTATGCTTCCTGCGGTAGCCTCACTGATCAGAGGGGCTTCCTGAGCTCCACACAACTTTCCCAATGTATCAAGTCACTAAAATGCATGTGATCTATGTAAATGCTTTTATATTTTTTTTAACAGAGATACACACACCTTTGTCTCTACCTCCTTATTCTTACACTTCATATTTTAGATATTTATTGTACAGTTTAAGTATTTGTTTTAAAGAAAATGTAATTCAATGTCTCCCCAAAGATTTGCTCTTCCCCATAAACATTGCCTAGAAGCATCTGCTTCCCTCATATGGATCTTGTAATTTGTGCTTTGGATTTCATCCAGTACTCTGCGGAAAAGTGATGCCTTCCAGAGACAGAAACCTGATTATGAGAAACCTCATGGGCAATAGTGCCTTTGTTGTAACTGATTTTGAAGACAGAGAAGCAGAGATGGGAGAAGAGGGTTTTACGACATGTTGGGGTTTTCTTGCAGAGACATGAGCACACTTTTGCCTTTTTCATGCAGAGCAGTCCATGCCTCTCCAGGTCTCTGCATCTTCAGGTTTTTAACCCTTCAGCCGTTCTCAACCACATCTGACAGACAGTGGTCAATCTTGAAGAGAACCATGTTCTTGAAGTTTCACTGAAGTAGGTGAGTGGAAAAGGAAAATAGAGCCACTTTCTGAGCGCCCTGACCACAGCATTGCACTGTTTGGTATCAGAAAACCTATACAGCAGAGAGAATTTGTTAAATATAAGAATTAAATAAGCTTTAACCAGTCACAAAATACAGGTCTCCAGGACCCTTGACTTCCAGTTCCAGCACTGATGGAAATAATTGGAAATAAAGAGCCTACAGACTGCAACCGTTTTGAAGAACAGGTGCTATGTCTTGTACTGAATGGGAGCTGTGCAGCCAGCAAGAGATGGGTTTTCCTCTTATCTCCTTCCATCCCTTCCATGGTAGTGGAAGATGGTCCCTTCAGCAGAGCAGCAGTCTATGGAGAAGGTGGAAGAAGCCTTGCCTTCCCTTGCACCACCTGATGGTACATAGGAATGATAATGTGCTCACTACCAGTCTAAGCACTTCTGGGACATGGCCTTTTTGACATTCCCCAGGCCTTGTCCTGTAGTGAAGAATAACATCTTGGATTAAAATAAAACAGATGGTGAATAAGAAGTGGCAAAGAATGAAGGGCAGGACTTCCCAGAAGAGGCAAGAAAGCAAAGTTCCTTTTGGGTGTTGCATATGGATCCCTTGCACCTAGCTGTTTGTCTTGCAAACACAGTCTGAGGAGGAGAAGGTGGTTGGTACATCTGGATCTAATGATCAGAGTGTTTTCCCAGGGATGCATTGTTCAGGCATGTCCTCTGCCTGAAGTGCCTGCCATCCCTCACCTCCTACTTCCCCCACATCCCCAGGACAGTGCCTGAAGTGCTTGGGTCTGAGTGGAACCAATTTGCACTGCAGTGATTGAAATCTGCATAACAAAGTTGTTTGGGCCAAATCTGCAGTTACTCAAGTATTTTATTGGCTTCAGCTCTGCATTTAGGTTTGCTCTACACTCATCATGGAGCTCTGGACAAATAACCAATCTGTGTTCTATTGTATTGGCCTCCTAAACATGTCACAATACTTAATAGTTCAGCCTGTGGGAGCAGGAATTTCACTTACGTTTCATGTGGTGCCAGATCCTTTGGCAAACATTTAGAAATGGTCTGAGATTACCATTGTCTCTGCCCAGGAAAGGCTTTACCTCTGCTTAGAAAAGTGTTGTGGGTCCACCAGCCCGTACGTTTGCTTGTGACATCCTACACTTCTTGGCTTTTGGTAGCTGCCCACACCCTTCCCTTGTGTTTGTTGTAATCGGTTACATATGTTGGTTTGTTTTTCATACACATCCTGACCTCAAACAAGAACAGGAAAATCTCTCTTTGGGAATAGCTGTGGTGAGGTACGTATCCTCTGTATCAGTGCTCACGATCCTTGGTTGTTTGGTTTGGGCTCACCCCCCTGTACACACATGTTGGTTTTTTCTATTTTCAGGATTTTTCTATTTTGCCCAAACTTACTCATAGGGTGAGGCTTGTCGCCCTGGGTGTTTGGATGCTCCTACACACTGATGTGTCCAAATAGCATTTCATAAAGGCATCTACATGTATTGTCCATTTAAAATTGCTGGAGTTAAGGCCTCAGTATTGTGCAAACCTGGACTATGGTGAATGTAGCCATCATCTTAAACATTTACTTTTATTATAGCACTTTATTTCTAATCCTTCACACTCTGGTCTCCTTACGTGCAAGGAAACCGCTACCATTTCACCCTTCTACCACCTTCCAAGAACCCTAATGCAAAAGAGTCCGTTATTCTCAGTAATTTTATGCTAAACTAAGTGCCATACTCTCCATCTCTTGGTCCCTTCCAGGTGCCCTTGAGGAGTCTACTTGGGCACAGGTCACTAAGCAGCCCCAAACTGAACAGCACGACCCTGCAAGCATTGAGCAGTTACGCCTTGCTCAGGGATCTCCTGGCTCAGACTTTGCTCCATGAGGAGCAGAACTGCCAAGTTCCAGTCAGAGAGTGGAGAGAGGTCAGTATTTATGGGGACTGAGCATTATTTTGTGTCACAGGAAGAAAAATAGAGTAGATTGTGGTCACCAGTCCACTTCTGCACAGACGCACAAGAAGCATCATCATTGTTTGAGTCCAGCAAAGATCAGGTTTGTTTACAGTATAGCTTGCCATCTCTGCAATTTCTGGGGAATAGGTGCCTGCTGTTTTTGAGTCAAACATTCACTAAATGGTACCCTTAGGAAAGAGAAAAAAACTGAAACAGAACAGGAATATGAGTACAGCTTGCAGTGTGCCTCTTCAAAATACAAGCTGTGCTGAGGTAAAGCTCTTCTTGGGACAGCAGCCATCTCTGGGTGGGGTTGTCTGGGACAAGGGAGTTTAAGTAGGCACGGACATAGATGAGGCAACTGCTGCAGTTTTCCTGAGATCTGAATGATGTTTTTAAAATGCACATCCTCCCTCAGAGCCTGGGGTTTGTCCTCTGTCTACGTTAAGCAAACATGTCTCAGTTTAAAATCCAGCACGAAGTTCATGCCTAAATGGCCTGCTGGGTGTTAGTGAATGTCAGATAAATGCTTACTGATTTTGTTGGGTTTGGACCATGCATCTGCCATTCAAAAGCCTGATCCTTTCTCGATGTGATCTAGCCTGTTGCTGGGAAAGAGTGGGGTCTGAGTTTTCAGTTGTGTGCTGTGACAAATGATGATGATGTGGCTGGTTTTGGGAAAGCCCAGCATGTGCTCTCTCAAACCCTTCCCAGCACACATCTGCATGCTCACCAACCCTGCTCATCATTTGTTTGTTCTATTTATAATTATTACCATTTTTCCCAAAATTGAAGAGGTGCCAGATGGGAAACATGGAACATCACTGCTCCCGGGCTGCCCTCTCTTGGGTAGCATGGTGGTGTGCCTTCCTGGAGGCAGGCAGCAGCAGACACTTGCGAGTTTTCTCCATCAATGGCTTGCATGCCAGTGTTGCTGAGCATTGCCTGAGCTCGTTCCATCCCCACCATCATGCTGCTGGAGCCCAAGTCATGATCCAGGCTGGGTGTGCATGGGGAGGACATGCTGATGTGGCTCACTTATTGGAGCATATAGAGCATCAGAGTGCAGGCAACTGGCCTGCTAAAGCCCCACAGCTTTAGTGGATCAAGCTGCCTGGGTCTTGTAATCTGATCTTTATTGGTGTAATGTACCCACCGTGTGGAGCCCAGGGAAACTAAAGCTTGGTGAATGCAGTGAAGTGATAATGTGACAGAGCAGAAATGTACTTAGCATTGAGTCGGGCAATTCAGGAGTGATCAGGGAAAAGGAACCTTGCATGTTTCTCCGTTTTTGTAATAAACCCTTGTAAAAGATCATTTTTTGCCAGCCTTCACCCTTTAGAAAGGGAGAGGTGTGTGGGGGGAAGCCCTTCAGCAGAGTATGAAAAGTGACTTTTTAAAGAGTCATTATTTGTTTGGAAGAGAAGGCAAATGAAGCTTGTTTGCTTGCTTTTGTTTTGTTTTTTTGGTAACCGCGTTGCTCAATATCTAATCCTCTGCAGAACACATAACTTCTGTTTCCTGTGTTATGAAATCCTGGAAACAGCCCTGAATTTTAAGGAAACCAAGCGCACTTTTGCAGAGAGATGCAGCAAAAGAGCTCCCTCTCTTGTCCATTATGTGTTTTGGCCAGTTTGCAATGCAAGGATCAAGTTAAAACTGGAGTGAGGCTGGCATTAAATTACATTGGATTGAGGGTTTATCTGGAGTATTCTGCTTTATGTCTGTTTAACTGAAATGTTTGGAAGAAGATGGGTAGCAAGCATTGGTATTCAACACCCAGCTGAAAAAACCCATCCAACTGTTTCTGGTAAAGCACTAAAATATTACTTCTGAAATAAGTCCTTAAAAACACAGTGGGAGATATATCTTTCTTGATATCTATAAAATATTCAACAAAACATGGGTTCGATTATTTTTTTCTTTTTTCAGCTTTCATTGACAGTAAAACTGCATTGCACAGGGTAAAAATAATCTCTTTAAACCTCACTTTCAGAATCAGATTGGCTGGGCTAAACCTAGTTGTGATATAAGTCCAAGAAAAAGATGTTTTTTACAGGAGCTATTGAGCAACACCTATTTCTAATGGTTAATTACAGTGCAGAGCAGGAAACAACTCATTTGCCAAAGCACCAGTTTTTCAAGATAGCTCTAACAGTCTTGCATATATGAAATATGGCTTTCTGGGCACAACTGTAATAAGAGTTGCATGTTCAGTGTTAAAGGCTCCTCCTAATTTGTGCCATACCTTGTGAAGTCAAAGTGGTATGTTTGTATGCTCGGTTTTTCAATCAAAAGCTTGCATTTAATGGGAAAATTGCTATACTAAGAGGGCAGCTCATGATACAATGCTACTTCTAAACTGTGAATGTTCACTCTGTTTGGAATGTTTTCTTTTATGAAACACATTCTCACACTAAACTTAATGTCCTGACTAACAGGACATTTTTATGACTTTAATTTTTTTATTTTGTACTGAAATAAGGAGATAATTTTCTTAGAAGCTTGGATCTGAAAGCTTTGCAGAAAATAATTCTTATGTCTGTGGAGTAGCCAAGTGCTTTTTGTTGACAATTCATCAAACATGACAAAGCAATTTCAGCTTGCAACAACCTTGTAACTTCTGCCCTGAAAGAAGACAGAAATGACGCAGTGTATAAATCTACCTCCAATTTTTCCTTCAGTTCTGTGCAGTCCTACCCAAAGGTTCCTGTAGATTTCCCTCAATTTCTTTCCATTCAAGGCCAGACTGATGTTTGTGAAGGCATTTAACAGCTATAGCTTGGACTGAAACCTGCCAGTCTTATCAAGGGTGGGGATACTGACTTTGCAGAAAGAGCTGAATGACTGTGAACACCATTAAATGGATCCCTAGTGCTCAAGATAAATGATGTTGCTTTAAAACAGTGGGCAGAAAGGTCTTCAAAGTCTGAGACAGGGATTAATTAAAGAGGGAAAACAGATCTTCCACCCAGCTTGATTTCTTGCTTTTCTTAAAGAAACATTTCCCTTAAAGGAAAACCTGGTGATTCAGTGAAAAGCTGATTTCATTGCTGTATTTGAAAAGGCTACTTCAGCAATTTTGGGTTTCTTCTTATTTCAATAATAGCAGGCATGATGGATTTTTTTCCCTACATATTACATATTTTGTCCAGTTTTTTCCTCATATAATCGCACATTTTTAGGATAGCACTTCCACAGTGTTCTCAAATCATGTGGTGAGTTCTGTTACCTTGGTTAAGTGTTGTGCGGGCTCTGCTACTGATGGAAGACAGGCAAGTACAACTTTGGAAACTGTGTATTTTAAGAGAAAAATTCTTACTTTAGCAAATACGGAGCATGCCAAAGTAGCAAAAAGCGGTATTTCCTAGGAAGGAAAATACTTCAGCCTTGCAATAAAAATGGTGGGAACTTCTCAATATGCTTGTTTTTGAAGGTTCTTAAAAGTATTTAATTTGATAGTTTCTAATTAAGGCTTAACAAAACTTCCTTAAGTGAGCTGTAACATAATAGAGATACATAGCAGATAAGAAATCAACTACAAAAACTAGTCTAGTCATTTTAACATGCTAGGTCCTGCAAGGAGGAAGCAAAACTTTAACTGAGCTGGAATGCGTTTCCCTCCCCTTGGTGATGGCCTGTTCTGCTGTGAGCTGTCCCTGCCAGCCGTAGCTGGGGGAGATGGGCATCCTTGCTGCACATCTGCCTCTCCTCCCCATCCCTTGTCTTCCCCTCTGGGAGACTGTGTGAATGCATCTCAGCCCTCCCCAGCAAGGCATGGTTGCTTTGAACCCCATCTGTTACTGCCTGGAAAAGGCAAGGGATGGCTGGGAAAGGGTGGCTTTCTACCAGGAAACTGAGCTTTACTTCAACAGATACTATATTTACTTTGAAAGTGACACCTAGTGCATTGAAGGCGGCCTTGCCAAACTGCTGGCTACTGTTTTGTATAGGCTTTAACACTCTGGTGGCCTGCTGATAAATCAAGTAAAAAATAACAACAAAATTGGAAGAGATGCCTATTTGAAAAAAAGGCATTTAAAAAAGGAAAAAAGAAGCTTGTGTATCTGACCTTCACATGGAAAACCAGAATCTGTCAGGCTTGACTACTCGGTCTTTGGCAGCAGGATAGTTTTGGTGTATTGTGCCCTGGGCTCCCAACACTTTCTTTTCCATTTAAATCTCCATGAGTGACTGTGTAAATAAATAAGGAGTACAAGGCTTCACTGTCTCTTTCCAGAGCTCTTGGTGATGCTGTGCGTGGGGCCAATGTGCTGGCTATCGACCACCTCTCTGATCAGCCACCCACCCCATCTGACAAAACAGGTCTCCCTGCCTGGCTTTGAAATTAATGTCAACAGACAAAAAAGTATGGGAAAAGGGCTTTGTGGTGTGGAGACCCTCAGTCCCTGCCGGGCTTTGCTGTGTATTTTCCTGCAAACCATGGTTAACAGCATGGGAATTTTCTGGAAGTGCTACACAGGTTTCAGAGTGTTGTGATGCTGATTTCCAGTGGGGTACTCTTTCAGTTTTCTTTGGTCTTAATTTAAGGAGAAATTCAGAAGTAAAGAAAAGCAGGATGCTCTGGCTGAAGCTCCCAGGGGCTCATGCCAGTCCTAAGTCAGCTCAAAAACAACTCGGGCCATTGTGTGGTGTAGGTTTTTTCTTTAAATCTAAAGAAAGCCAGCTTACAACTTTGAAGGCTGTAATCCATATAATAAAACACAGGGCAGGAGAGGCAGATTCAGCAGCATCTGCTGAAAGGTCCCACACCATCCAGCATGTACAATAATGGATGCTATCAGGCAGTGAGCTCTCATTTACAGGGCCATATGCTTTACAAGGAATGTTGATAGGTTCCCCTTATCTCTGTTTGTCATCACTCCTATCCTTCATTTCACTGCTTCCAAAGGAAAACACTGCAAATTCTTGGTGTCCTCTGTTGAGCCACTGACATTTCTTAGGGTGGCCCTTCCTCCCTGGAGCTTTCTGCCCTCAAATCTGAGTTCCCCTGTTTCACTTTAAAGATGAGCAAGATTTTAGTTTTTTCACACATGGTGGTACCCATATAGGTGTCTCTTTATAACTGGCTAGCAAGCTTGTCACCTGCTGCCAACATCTGAAGACAGGAGCTTAAAAAAAAAAAGGCACAATAAAGCACACAAGCCCATAAAACCACACTTACTGATTTGTCACGCTTCTCTGCTTCCTGTTAAAAACGGGCCCTGGTTTTCACCCGCAGGCTCTGGGCTTCTCTGTTTCCTGCTTATATTCCCCATATAAACCTGGTACTAACCTTCATACCTGCCAGCAAGACCTGCAGTGGAGATCACTGCTGTTTTGGGGTGTCCTTACTTGCAGGATGATGCACCAAGGTGAACTCTCTGCTGTCTTGGAGTACAACAAAGAAATGAGACCAGCAGAACCCTGCTGTAACCAAGTTTGCTAAATATCAAACCCTCCATCACTTTGTAAGACTTCACTGACAATGATGTCCCTTTTCCAAAGAAAAAAGATTCGCATGGAGGTCCCATGGGACCTGGAAAGTACAGTGGAGAAGAGGTGTTCCATGGGCCCCTTCCCTGATGCTTCCTCAGGATGTGTCAGGACCTCCTCATGCAGGGACTGTGTAACACTGGGTCTCAAGGAGCCTCTAACTATGGAGGCCTGCAAAGCCTGGCCAGAGGAAGACTGGTCAACCAGGCATCAAAGCACCTAGCAAGAGGGAGAGCAGCTGATGCTGAGGCTGCAAGTTGGCTCTGGGTTCACTGGTCCTTGGTCAGGTCTGTGTAGTGTAAATAGGTACCATTTCCTTCTGGGTTTTTTATTAAGCAAGCACCAACCCCTGGTAGAGGGCATTCCTCTACTCATTCCTTCAGGCTTTGTCAGTTCCTAGGCTCACTAAGTTTTCCAGGTGATTTTTACTATAGGAGTGATACAAAGCAGCAGACCAGGACACGTGCAGCCATTTGCCATTCTCATGTGCAGAAAACCTCATGCTCTCTCTTATTTAAGAGGGTGAGCTCTTAATTTTCTCCCCTCTGTCAAAATCTGTGCATGTGGCTTTTTACACAGCACAACAGGCTGTGCTCTTTGACACCATGAAGCTCTGTATATCAAAATCAAGGAGCTATCATCAGTCAGAAGTTTAGTAGAATGCCTGTGGTGTGTACAGAGAGAGGGACTGTCCATGGAGCCAGATGCAGTAGGACAGTATTGCACAGAAGAAAGAGGACACAAGGAATTTCAATGCTCAGGCAAAAAGACTGAGCGACCAACAGCCCCTGGAAGGCCTCAGCTGAGAGCAACACCAGGAGCTCTGCAGGAGGTGGAGGAGCAGGCAAGAGGAGCTGTGACCTTCTCTCCCAGTGGCAGAGTTGGCCTCAGATGAGAGGTGCAAAAGGACATGGCGAAGCTACTCAAGGGACTGGCTTTGCTCTGTTCTCCATGGCCAAAAAGGCAGCAGTGAATGATTCAGGAGGTGTCTTTAGTGCTGGCTTTGTCTGAGGTTTCATTTGATTCCAAATTCAGAATATTTTCTTACCCAATCACTTTTTTGTCTTTCATATTGTCTTGTTACCTCACTCCTGCAGGGAAAGTAGTGCAGAAGTTCTGACTGCCTAGTGCAGAGAGTGAATCGCATCTTGCTCTGTATGGCTGTAAATGTCCATATCCATAACACCTGCTTGTTTTGCAAAAATGAGGTGTTATTGCCTGTAATATTTTGTTTGTCTTTCCAGTGTTTTAGCTCAGCTGCTTTTATAACATCAGGAGTGTTGTGCTTCAGGGATGTGTGGTAAACGGGCAGTTGTACAAGCCTTGTAGGAAAAGATTGATGGCTAGATTGGTTGTTTTGACACATGTGAGAGTCTTGTGTCCCATGTGCTTTTAGGAGCGCAGAACGTGTAATTTCCCTTGTTACGTAAGGGCTCAGAGGATCTGCTCTTCACCTCCCCTTTCTGGAGCAGCTTTAAGTAACACAGCTCGGATATCAGCCAAGCTTATGGTCATGCCTGAGCCACCTCTTGGGGTTGACTCGCTGCAGAACTTGGAAAAGGGGAGGTGTGGGCTGGGGGCAGCAGCTGGAGACACAGAAAGAAGACTGTTAATGTTGGAGAGATTGTCTGCAGGAAAACAACCACAAAATAATTGGAGACACTGGGGCTCCTGTGATTCAAAATGATTTTTGTTAGCTTCTGATGTGCAATCATCTAAGAAGAAAGGAGAAGCCTGACTCACTTCTTAATACCAAACAAAAGTGCCTTACTTCCTTAATAACATACCCTTGGTATGTTGTTTGTTTGTGTGAAGCAAACA